GATGGAGAAGACCCCACCCCATGACCCCCACCCCATGATGATTTAGATTAGCAGAGGCTGCAGCAAGAATAAGGACGACAAACAGTCCTGGCTGCGAAGGGGTTGGGGGTGGGAAGGGCTGAAGGGAGGAGGGAGAAGTCCCAGGTTGTGGGTTAGAGCTGACCCCCTGAGCCTCGGAGACCCCCTGCCCGCGGCGCCCCCCGCCCGGCCCCCGCCCCCGCCCTCGCCCTAGCTGGAACGGTGGGTTATGCTGCCCCCTGCCGCCCGCTCTCCACACTGCAGCCCCGCTCCCAGGACCCGGCTGCGGAGCGAAGGAACTCGCGTGGTCCAGGGCCGACCCTTCTCCAGCTGCGGGGTTCACGAGAAGGACCCCGGATCTTCCAGGCTCTAACCTGAAGCGAACCACGCATCTGGAAACGAAACATGGGGACCGTTCTCCAGCCGTCCCCTCCCCGGCTGCCCCACCCCTGGCTGAAGGAGTTTATCAAATGTGCCTGCTACTTCCTGGCATTAGGCTCCCGCTGGCACTTTTATTCCAACCATAAAAAGGCTATTTCATTGAGAAATAAAGTCCCATCTCCCTGACGTGTGACTCCTTTCAGAGCTCTCAGCCGCCAGGCAAAATTTATGTTTCCCGGATGCTCTCTCCTGGGATTGCAACTGGAAATTGGGGAGATGGGGCTGGAAGGGGGAATTTCCTCTCTAGCTGATGGACTTGTGCTTATTCCTTTGGTCTGAGGAGCCATGGAAACCCAAGGTGTCCAGCAGAGAGCCCTTGCCTTGGAGTGAAGAGGCCAGTGTTTGAGCCCCGGTTCTGCCACCTATTAGCTGTGTGAACTTTGGTAAAGTCCTGAGCCTCAGTTTCCTCATCCATAAAATAGGAAGAGCAGTTCCTCTCTTCCTCAGAGAGATGGAGCTAGATGCACTGAGCACTTAGAAGCTGTAGAAATGTCAAGTACTGCTATTATTATGGAGGCAGAGGAATTCTCTGACTTGGGGTGGGGGCAGGGGGAGCTGACACAGATTTTCCCAAGCAGTGAGTGGTCCTCAGCTTCTGTGTGCATCAGATTCACCTGGAGGGCTTGTTAAAACACAGATTACCGGTCTCCATCCTCTGTGTTTTGGGATCTGTAGGTCTGGGATGGAGACCATCCCATTTTTTTTTTTTTAAACCAATTTCTTAGGTGATGCTGATGCTGCTGGTCTGGGGACCCCACTTTGAGAATCATTGTTTTGAGGGCTTTGAGATCTGGGATGTAGGGCACCTCAGCCTGGACCTTGGGAGAGGAATGAGAAGCCGGTGGGGGGTCACCTTTGGGGCAAGATAAGGGTGAGCTCTGGCCAGCTACAGGGTAGTGAGAATCTGTCCATATCATCCCATCTTGTCCCCCCACTGGCTTGGCCTGTGTCTCTGGCGGCCCCCACTGCCAGAGACAAGACCTGTGAGCAGCAGAGAGGTCAGGCAGTGGCCCGGGGCTAGGCTGGGCTGGAGTCTCTGAAGATGGACTCTCGGGGGTGCGGGGTGCCTGCAGACCTACACGGGAGACTCTTGACTTGTCTCCCCAGGAGTGGAAGTTGCCTGGCCATCCACTCCTGTTCCCTGTTTCAGCCTGTTCCTGAAACAGAAGCCCAGAGAGATTGAACTGACTTGCTCAAGGTCACACGGCTTGGACAGGACACCCAGAAAAAGCCCTTACTGGCTATGCAGTAATTTGGAGGATGACGAGGTTGATGACTCCAATTCCAGTGTAAGTAATATTCAAATACCCAGCGGAGACTTGCTGCTAAAGCTGGAAGAGCACGTTGTCGTACAAGTCTGCCGTGGGAGCGTCTAAAATCTGGGTATTCAAGACCTTCGATGAGGGAACAACAATGAGCCTGGATGTCACAAGGCATGAAAATTGGCTTTGTTGGTCAGGGAGGAAAACCCAAAAGGGAAACTGGCCCATGGCTGCTCCGTGTAACAAAACAGGATAGTAAATGCATCACAGACCCTGATGGGGTGAAAAAGATGGGGATCCAAGCTGCTGGGGGGGAGGGAGTCACGCAATGTCTAACCCACCCCAAATCCCAGATTGTCTGAGATCCTGCCCCGCAGAATGCTGACCTGGAGGGGAAGAGCCACTCCTTGCCAGGATCTCACTGATCACAGACACATCAGCCGTAAATAAATGATAGCCAGACCTGGAAAGTCTCAACAGGACGAGTGGAGGCCCCCCAAGCAGGGAGAACACTTGTGCCCGTGCCCACGCCGCCCCGGGATTGGGCACAGGTGCGACCCAGGCCCTGGGAGACCCAGAGCCCTGGTCACTCATGGATCTGGGGCTGTCTTGTATTGAGGGAAAACGAGACTCCCCAGAAGCCTGAGCACTTTCTCATGAAACGCAGCTTGTCCCGGGGTTTGAGTCAGTGTGGAGTGGAGCAAGGGGAGAGAAGAGGAGTAAAGTGGTTGGTTGCAGCTGCGCCGTCCGCTGAGCTGGGCCAAGTGCCCAGATCCGCGTAGCCTTGCCGCTCGCTGCCTGCTGGGGGAAGAGCCATTTACGCCAGGTAAAGGCTGGAGATTTCATTAACTCCCTTCCCTTTGTCTCGTCTCCAAGGGCGCAGGGTGGTTAAACATGCGGAGGACTTGGTAAAGGGTCAGCCCCGCTTTAAAGGACTCTCTTGGCTGCATGGCGGGGCGGGTGGGGGTGGCCTGGTCCTCGAGGTCCCAAAGCTGGGTGGTTCGGCAAAGATGGAGAAGGGGAGGAGGGAGATGGGGCAGAGGCGGGGCAGGGAACAGAGACACAGAGACTATAGGCCAGCATGGTGACATGTCTCACACATCACCTGCGGCCACCTTCACTGAGTCATCTGGACAGAGGGTGGGAGTGGCACCTCGAGAGGAGCCCTTTAAGTCATCTTCCTGGGGGGTGGGTTGGCCTCTCTCAGCCAGGGCCTCCCTCCCCCATCCCCTTTCAGCTGTTCCTGCCCTCTGATGTCCACTTTCCAGCAAGCTTTTTGGAGCCAGAATAAAATCTGGGCTCCCACGTGCCCGCTCCCTCCTGTTCACTCCACCAGCTTCCATTGCCTTCTTTCTGTCCCTCCAAACCTCCTCAGATCCCTTGCACTTGCTGTCCCTCTGTCTGGATGCCCCTCTCCACCACCACCCCACCCCACCCCACCCCCCACTCTTTCCTGGTTTCCCCTTCAGAGGGATTGCCGTGACCATCCCGCCCCAACCTACGCCCCATCCAGGTTGTGTGTTTGGGTCTCTTCAGAGCACTTGGAGCCATCTGAAGTTGTCCACGTGTGGCTTTATTGTCCATCTCCAACCCCCCGTCACACATACCCACACATTCACACACACGTGTGCCCACTAGAACTTTCGCTCCCACACGAGGGACTTTCTCTGTCCAATTTACGGTTCCCTTCCCAGAGCTGCAACAGCGTCTGGCACAGAGAACGCACTCCATAAACATTTGTCAAGTGACGGGGGCCGTGATATGCACTCTGAGAAGGCAACTGGGGGTCTGGAGAACCAGGCAGCAGTGAGCCCACAACATCAGCCCTGGGCTCTAGCCCCCTTCCCCACCGGCCTAGGAACATGATCTTCTAGCCTGGAAACCATGGGCTCCTGTGAGGTGATCCCAGCCTAGGGGAGGTCAGTCCTTCTTTCTTCCCCCAGGCTGGGCCACCCAGCCAGGTGCCCTGGGCAGCCACCACGGCCTCGGGCCTCCTCCTGCTGGCTTCCCCTGTAGGTGTCAGGCTTGCCTTGGCATGGGGGCCGCCGTCCCTGGGCAGCGGCTGCCCGCAGGGGAGCCGCCTGGCAGGGCGGGCGGGGGGTGGGGGGGTTGGCCTTGGAGTCACGACTCCGATTCAAGAAGGGAAATCATCCGAGCTTTTAAAAAATTAAATGGAGTCAGTAATTTGATTTCAGAGAGAAGCTGAAAACCTCGTAATGGCAGGAGCAGCTCAATTCCGTGGTGAAAAGGAAAAGCCTTAAATGGGGCTATTAAGCTTTTGCCTGGGATGGATCTGCCCGGAGAAGGAGGAAGGAGGGGGGGCAGGCAGCGGGGAGAAGTCGTCCTAGAGGTAGAGACCGTTTATCAGCCGAGACAACCCTGATTATTTATTTATTTATTTGTTTCGCATTCCGGGCGTTGCCCACGGCCGCCTCTCCTTGGCTGCGATTCAAATCCCACTTTCAGCAATGGGCCGGCCCAGAGGGGGCGGGGGTGCCCCCCTTCCAGGGAAGCACCCAGTGCTGCTCCCACTCAGGCCACAGCTGGGCTTCTGGGAGCACTGGTGTCCCCGGAGGTCAACGGGGGTCACCTTAGCTGCCCAGGCCAGCGGGCTACCAGCTGCTGCCATGGGAACCAGAGGCAAAGAGTAGTGAGTCATGAAAACAAAGCAGCAATGCTCCCCATTCTCCTCTCATGGGGTCCTTGAGAGACCTAGGGTTGTGGCCCCGGAAGCCCAGGGGAAGACATCTCACACTGCAGGATCTTATCATCGCCCAGCACCCCCAGAGATGTCTGAGCTGTGGCTGAAGGCCTTCTGTACTTTCCTGGAACGAGCAAGCATCCCCTCTGCCTGGGCCTGGGAGCCCTGCAGTTTGGCTGTTCTGATTTGCCTGAATAGCTGCCAGGGTAACCACGAGAATGACTTACACGTCCTGAGCGCATGCTGTGTGCAGGGCCCTGCGCTCAAGGCTTTACGTTTCCTCCCTTACCCCTCAACGGCCCCAGCTATTCTCACCCCCATTTGCCTGATCAGGAAACTGAGGCACAGAGAGGTTAGCGCCTTGCCCAAAGCCACACAGCCGAAGAACGGGGAGACCGCAGCAGCCTGGCTACAGAGCATGCACGCTTTCCCCCTCTCCGCCCCCCATGCCTCACCACATCACAGGGAGTGGGCAAGCACGCAGACGCTGGCGGTCCCAGCGAGCCGGAGGCACGCCCAAATACTGTCCTCCCCACTCCTTTGTGCTTGGCATCCCCTGGGGCGCTCCCGGGACTTACCCCAGCAAGGGGGCCTCTCAGAAGCCCCTCCATGTGGTTCTGAAGCTCAGGAGACCTATAACTTTCAGGACTGGTTGCCACTGTGGGCTGCGTCGGCTCCTGCCAGGGTGTCCCCTGCTGAGCAGAAAGGCTCTCCGGGTTTGGCCAGGCTGGACCAGGAAACGTCTGCAGGAGCCCACGGGCTCTGAGTTTGCTGGACATGTTCGCGGCCCCCCATTCAGCCTGCTCCACTGGCCAGGGGCTGACTCGAGGCCTCAGGCTCTCTCTCACCCTCCCTCCGAGGAAGCTGCGGGCTCCTTAGAGGTGCAGGCCAGTGAACTCTCCAGAAGAGCTGTCGGGGGCTGCCTGCCTCTGGCAGCTGCTGGGCCCACCCTGTGCCTCCCCGAGGGCTCAGGCGGGCACTGGGCCTAGCTGCTGCCACCACACCTTGGAAGGGCTCACGGCAGGGCAGTGACTGTGGCATATCCATTCCCTGCAGGAGGATAAGTCCTGGTGCCGCCCTGTCCTGACTTGGTCCTGGGATGGCAGGTCTAGGTGCCCCTTAGCCTCCTCCCCGACGGCCCTGGGGCCTCCATTATGGAGGATGTTTCCTGGGGCTCTCTGGGGTGTGGGGGGGAACATCAGGAAGCCAGTGCCTCTTCATTCAGGCTGGTCATCGAGAGCCTTGTCAAAGGCCGGACCTCCTGGCCAGCCTGGCCACGTCCCCCTCGTCTGGGCTAGTTGGCAGCCACGTCCCCCCTGACAACATTCCCAGCAGGAGGAGACCTCTGGGTGGCTGGGCAGGGCCCTGCTCAGGCCTTATAGCTCAGGGTGACAGACTGTCAGGGTGACAGATGGCCTTGAGACCAGGAACACTTCGGACTGTTCGGACGCCCAGAGAGGCAGCCGAGGAGAGGAGACATCTGAGAACAAATGAATGGTCAGGCCGTGGGGGCTTGGAAGACTGGACAAGGGGGCCGGGGCTGGCCTGGACGGCTCCCATGGACTCTGAGGACAGTGCAGCTGAGGATGGGGCGGGCCCGGGTAACGCCACGTTCCCCGGGGGAGCCCAGGGGCCATGTTTCTTCTACAGGTTTGGCTATTTGCAGGAACGGTCCAAGCCCCTTTTTCAGTGGGAGAGCAGTGGAGAGAGAAAAAGCATCAGAAATCGGAGGATGTGAGCCTAGGCCATGCCGAGGATGGCAACCCAGAGATGGCCCTTGGGAGCTGTGCCCTCAAGCTGTTGCCCCAGGCCTGCTCCCAGGCTCCAGCCACAAGGCCTTTGAGGCACGCCTTGGTTTTCCTTTCTCCACATGCACAATCGCTGACCTTACCCACCACCTCTTTTTACCAGCTCTCAAGGCCCCGGGGTGCAGGTCAGAGTGGGGCTCCCTTGGGAATAATGGTGATGAAGGAGAAGGGTCTCACGCCGGGCTGGGTCCACCAACGCCTCGTGGGGATGGGGCCCCTCAGAGGAAATTGCGGTGGGGAGGCCAGGTGATGGACTGGGCTTCGGAAGCCTCGAGAGCGAAGCTCTGACAGAGCCCTTCCCAGAGGCCACCCGCGGCAGCTGATTCTGCAGATTGGAACTGGGGAGAGACAGCAGGTGGAATTCCTGCTGGAAGGGTCTCCCCTCCTGGGAACGGTGGAGCGGGAGCAGTCCTCAGCGCGGCAGTTCAAGCAGACAGCTCCCTTCCAGAATTTTCCAGAAAGGAAGCAGGGGTCAGTTCTCCTCCCAAAGAGACACGATCCTCCCCGCACCCTGGTGAAAGGGCCACGCATGTCCCCCCTTTTACAGATGGGAAAATAGTGGCTTTGGGAGCTCAAATTCAAGCACTGGGTTAAGAACCTACCTTCACTGGCTGAATTTCACAGACCCTGGACCTGGAGTCCTTGCTGAGAATACGTGAGTGTCAAAATCTTTTTTTTTTTTTTTAAGATTTTATTTATTTATTTGACAGAGAGAGACACAGCGAGAGAGGGAACACAAGCAGGGGGAGCAGGAGAGGGAGAAGCAGGCTTCCCGCCGAGCAGGGAGCCCGATGCGGGGCTCGGTCCCAGGACCCTGGGATCATGACCTGAGCCGAAGGCAGACGCTTAACGACTGAGCCACCCAGGCGCCCCTCAAAATCTATTTTTGAAATCGAATCACAGGATTGTACATTTTCTGTAAGGACCTACTGGCCCCAACTCCTACCCCTGCTTGATGCCACCAGCTGGTTTCATCTTTAAGCCTTTCCCTACTTTGAGGCCACGTACATCGGCCCAGCCCCAAGAACCACACAGAACCAGACTCTGCCGGGACACTGCGGACCTGCTGGGCCAGATCATTCTTTGCTGTGGGCTCCCATGCACCATGGGATCTGTAGCAGCACCCGTGGCCTTTACCCACCAGATGCTGGTGGCCTCAAGAATGTCTCCAGATGTCGCTAAACGTCCCGTGGGAGGCAAAAATATACCCCTGTTGAGAACTGCCGAGTTAGAGCTTGCCAATTCTGGTTCATAGTTCAAGTACAGCCTCAGACATGTTTGGTTTGGCCTGCAACGGGTCTTTTTTATTTTATTTTATTTTATTTATTTGAGAGAGCATGAGTAGGGGGAGGGGGAGAAGGAGAAGCAGACTCCGCACTGAGGAGGGGCTCGATCCTAGGACCCCGAGATCATGACCTGAGCAGAAGGCAGATGCTTAACCGACAGAGCCTCCCAGGCACCCCGACCTGCAGCGGGTCTTAAATATATTTTAGATTAACTGATGAAATTTTGTAACCAGCTTCTCCTGGAAAATCAGAAGATTTGGCGGGGTCTGGGGGCCACCAGCTCACTGGCATCTCCACCACGTCTTGTCCTCTCCACGGCCTTCAGCACCCTCCCTTGGGCCACTGGTTCACTCCCCCTCACTCATTTACACTCCCTGCCTGACCCATAGAGGTATTTTTGTCAGAACCTCTGCTTTAAAATGTGAAACAGGGCTGGCTGGTTAGCTCAGTTGGTTAGAGCGTGGTGCCGATAAAATGTGAAACAGCTATAGTTTAACCATCCTGCTGGTTTTTCATCTCCAAGCTGGACAGCCCCTTGCTTCCACTATCCTTGACATCTATGAGCTTAAATAATTAGGATTTCTCCTATAGGTTCTAACCACTTTGCGGGGGGTGGGGGGAGGGATGAAAAAGACTCTGTAACCACAGAGTGCTTAGGCAATCCCAGTGCATTAAATATTCCAGTGCATTAGTCATATATTTACACAGAGAAATGTTCTTTGTCTAAAACGTTTTTAAAAAATTCCTGGTGAAAATGTAGCCCGACAAGCATCTATTAAGTGCTTACCAAGGGGAAGGCAGTATGATAAGTCCCAGGAAGAATAAAATGCTGAACAAGACACAGCCCTTGACCTCAAAGCATTCCCATACAAGAGGGAGAGACAGGAGGGTGAGCCAATAACCATAACAAGAATAGAAAGACCTAGAAGCAACAATACAGAGAAGATTAGCGAGCCCCCTGAGCAAGGATGACACACAAATTCGTGAAGCATTCCATATTTTAAAAGAAAGAAGGAAAGAAAAGAAAGAAAGAAGGAGAGGAAGGAAGGAAGGAAGAAAGAGGGAGGGAGGAAGGAAGAGAAAGAAAGAAAGAAAGAAAGAAGAAAGAGAGAAAGAAAGAAAGGGGGAGACAGGGGAGGTGCAGGGAAGGTGTGCTGGGAGCCAGGGAGAGGAGAGATTCATTCTGGCTGCTGATATTAAATTAATAAAACGAGGAAGAGAACATTCTTTCCCCATGTAAATCTTTCCAGAGAGGCCAAAAAGTCTTCCTAAATTGTTCTTATTACTGTTGCTGAGCTATTTTTGTATTTTATTTACTATGTCCCTATCAAGAACCCACCCTCGCTTCAAAGCCTGGGACAAAGATCATCTGCCCCTTGACATCTCCCGCCAAGCCCGCCTGCCCTCCTTTATAACTTTATAACTCTCCGGACATTTCTTTCCTCCCCTTCGAGACTGGACGCCGCTTGAGAGCAAGGGCTGAAGCTGGAGGCCTCTGTTCCCTCCCCAGCCTCATAAGGGCCCTCCCTCAGGCAAGTGCTTAGTGAATATTTGTTGGATAAAGATCTAGCCCTCCCTTTCCAAAATCAATGTCAATGCTGCAGGAAACTGTTAAAATAAAAACAGCCAGAATGTGTAGAAACTTTCAAGAAACATTTCCATTCTCAGCAGACTGTTAGAACTCATCCCCCACCCCGTTTTTTCCCTTTGTTTCTAATTCTGAATTTGGGGCTAGATGTGGTAGGCAGTCCCCCTTTTAATCTTTAAATATAGTTCTGAATATAATTACATTTTTATGCAGCACCGAAACATCATATCCTGGTAACGGGGCATTCTTGCACTATTAACATCTGCGTTAAATCTCCTTCGCGTCTGTCTTCTATTGAGGACAGTTGTGAAGTCTAAGATGAAAGTGATCGACATCATTTGTGAATTATGTGTATTTCCTTACGCTGTATATCAATGGGTTTTGCTCCTGGTGGTTTTGCGAATACCAGGTTGTCTGGTAGCCGGGCTTTCGCCGAAAACCCCTTTCAAGACATGGATCCCGGCATCCTGGCACAGAGGACACACACCGTGTTTAGAAGAGCATTCGTCCTGGATTAAGAAATAAGTTGCATCGGGCGCCTGGGTGGCTCAGATGGTTAGGCGTCTGCCTTCGGCTCAGGTCATGATCCCAGGGTCCTGGGATCGAGCCCCACATCGGGCCCCTGGCTCAAAGGGGAGCCTGCTTCTCCCTCTCCCTCTGCCTTTCTCCCTGCTCATGCTCTCTCTCTCCCTCTCTGTATCTCTGTGTCTCAAGTGAATAAATAAAATCTTTAAAAAAAAAAAAAAAAGAAAGAAGTTGCATCACGCAGCGCTCTTTGCCAAAGAGCCTGATCCGTCTCGTAAGCGACCTGAGGAACTGGAGCCCACACAGACAGCTGGGCGGATCAAAATGGAAATGGCTCATCTTGTGCTAGGAACTCTGCTAAGCTCCTACCCCTGTCATCTACGGTCTTCCCTACAGGTAGCCATATTCCCATTTTGCAGATGAAAACACTGAGGCTCAACAAGGTTAAGTGACTCGCAGAGGTCCTGCAGCCAGCTAGGCATTGCTGTGGGGCCACAAAGAGTTAGTTGCACATGGCAGGGTGCATCCTGTCCCCCAGGGTCATCCTCCCAGGGGGCCACCCTGGCAAGAGTGCCAGGCCCCAGGGGTATCAGCGGCAAGGATCCATCTTCAGCTGGCCCCATAGTTCTGCCTTCCACGTCTCTGATTCCACTTGGTGTCAGTGGCTCGAAGAAGGGACCTCCACGAGGGTCAGGACAGCTGCTGCCACCACCAGGACACTGAGCTGGACCCGGAGCACCCTAGCCACCAAGTGGCTGATCACCACAAAGTCCCTGTTTTGGGTCCCTGTGAAGGTGCAGGTGGGAGCCTTTTTTTGACCAGACCCAGTCTCTGCTTTGGGATGTGAAGCAAGACCTCAGACTCTGGCTGGGATGACCCTGGAATGGGGAAGGATATGTGACACAGAAATATGCACACTTTGGGGCGCCTGGGTGGCCCAGTCGGTTGAGCGTCTGACTCTTGATCTCGGCTCAGGTCTTGAACGCAGGGTCGTGAGTTCAAGCCCCGCGTTGGGCTCCCCGCGGGGCGTGGAGCCTACTTGGAAAAAAAAAGGAAAAGAAAGAAAAAAAGAAAAATACACACTTTGCAGGTATGTGGACAAAAGGGTGGTGCCAGGTCCTCAGCCAGGGGCCATGCGCACGGCCAGCCCAGCACGCTTCCTGATCGGTGACATGAGATTACCTGATGCTTGGTGTCACTGCCTGGCAGAAGAAAAAGGCCATCCCCAAACATCCAGGGGACCCTGCCATCTGTGAAGGCCCATAAGGAAGCAGATGCCAGGAGCAGGACTTCCCCCCAGAAGCCGCAGAAATGTCTCTGCCGAGACTGTCTTTAGCTTTAGTGACCCAGCCTGGTGCCCCATCCTCACCAAAGCTGCTCTTAAGAAACAAAGCTCGTATCAATTGTTTACACTTTAGCAAGAATTTCATGTGTCAGCCTTCTCGTGGGGGGCATTTTAAGCCATCTCTGCAGTAGCTAAATGAAAGCACCTGCCTCCAAATAAACGCTTTCAGGCATCATGAACAAGGAAAGAGATGTCTGGGGGCTTGGCTTGGCCATCCCTAGTACCTTAAAATCACCAGAGCCCTGAAACTTGGTCCACAATAAAATTCTATCACATGCTAAGTCTTAGTCCTCTCTGATCTAGCCACACGGGGTGAAGCCTTTGATCCACCCAACTTTGCATACAGAGTTCCTTAGAATTTAAACTTCCCAGAGGTAGGAAGTGCTCTTCCAGATTCTAGGGCTCTCTGTATTATACCCCGGGCTGAACGAAGTAGTTATTACATACAGGGTCTAGATTGGGGTCCCAACCTCTGGTGGATCACGAAGCCCCGGAGGGCCTGCTGAAGGCCGCAGACCCTCTCCCATCTCTGTTCTCAGACCCCCTGGAGCCCATGTAAGGACTTCCCCGGAGTATAAAGACCCCGGGTTTGGAAGTCCCTAGTAGATGATTCCACTTTGCACCTATATACCACACCCAACCCAGACTCCGTACACACTCATACCCTCCAGGACAGCAGAGGTCTCTTTGTCCCAAGCAATTCAGGGATGCAAGGTCAAGGTTGGGGCTATGGAGAGGTGAGGTGGGGTGGGGCCTCGGGGAGAAGGTGCCCAGAGGAGGGAGGAACACAGAAGGGACGGAACGAGCGAGAGATGAAGCCAGACAGGGTGGACTTAGGGGCGCTCCTGGGCCTTACCCAGTAAGCAAGCAGCTTCTAAAGAACAGGCCTAAGAGCTGTTCACCAGCCTGACTGGCAGGAGTTCCTCGGACGGGTTCAGCACCTGGTGAGGCAGAAGGGTCCCCCTGTGGCCTCCGAACCGCTCCTTCCAGACACGGACTCCCTCCACAGGGGCCCCCTCACACTTCCAGACTAGCCTCTGGACTAGGTGTCTAGCCTCCGGACAAGCCCCAGGTGTCACAGAGCTCAGGTCAGAGGCTGCTGCTTCAACGCAACCCGGAAATATTATTTAGCCCGGATATTTTTAGCAGGAATCGAGCTCCGAGCAAATGTCATGTGAGCCGTCTTCTCTTCCACGGCAACTTCGGGCTATTTAAAGAGATGGTAATTATGCTCCTGCCACCATGATCAGGATGGGCTGAATGCATGATTGCAGGAGCCCCTCATCTGCCATGCGGAGCACTTTACGCTAATGGAGCCCAATTTTCGAAGCCGCCTGCCTAAATCTGTCCGGTGTCCCAGGTGGACAATTGAATTGGCACCGGAGGGGCAGCGGACTGCTCTTCGGGGCCTCGTAGCTGCGCCCAACAGTGGTTCCGGGGTGCTATGCTGCAGGACTCCCTCTCCCAGCCCGGCACTGACCTCCCGCCTCTGAAGCAGGTCTTGCCTTGGGCCTTGGACGGTAACGGGGGTGGTATCGACGCCCACCTAGAATCCCACCAGGCCGGCTTCTTGCAGAAAAGCTCCCAGCTCCCCCTGAAGGGACAGCAGCCATGGGATCTAAAGAAACGGGACACACTCCTCAACGGTCTGACCAAGGAGACGTGGTCACTAGGGGGACAAGGAGAAGGCTCCCTGAGGGGACACTCAGGAAGGTGACAGGACCAAGGGGGGATGGGCAGGAGCAAGAAGCAGGGCAGCAGGCCACTCGGGGAGGAAGGCGAACCGGACACTTGAGGGGAGCGCTTGGCACATAGTAGGCGCACCCACTGGGGGGCACACGGGTGAGAGAATGAGTGTGCCGTCGCCCCAGGCAGCCGTGCCGACCAGGAGGCCCGTCCTCCGGCCGGCCGGGCGCACCTGGGGTCCTGTTCTCGGCTCCCTCGGCAGTGCGTTAGTGGACATTGGCGATGGGGGCCATGAATCTAGGTGGGTGCCCGGAGGGGGAAGAGGGACAGGAGGGAGTCCCCAGACCCTAAGCTAGAAGGACTGGCACGAGGAATTCAGGAGAAGACTTGAGGAAGGGAAAGCTAGCTGACTTCAAATATTGGAAAGGATGTAAAACGGAGAAGGGCCCGGCTCCTTCCGGGAGGCTGCTGAGAACAGACCCGGGACCAGCCAGAGGGAAGTGGGGGGCAGACAGCTCTGCCAAAGAAACGGGTGGCCTTGCAGAGGGATCGAGCTCCCCGGCACTGGAGACTTTTCGGAGAATCTCAGCACGGGAGGGGCCTCCTGCCCAGCCTCCCACCCAAAGCCGGGACCCCTCCTCGGATTTCCTCTCAGATGGCCTCAGACCTCTGCCTGGAGGGCACCAGGGGAAGCGTCCAGCTTCGGCTGCCAAGACACGAGCCCAGAAGAGTTGGCACCATCCACCAGCCCCTCTCCAAAGGAGAACAGAAGTCAAAACCTTCTGCCTCGGAGTGTCCCCGAGCACCGGGCCTGGCAGAGCCTTCCAGAAAGTCGCTCCTGCCCCGTGTACCTGGCCAGTGGCGCTTCCCAGGGGCAGCGTCACGGAGACTGCAGAACAAAGAGGAAGCAACAAATTCTTGGCAAGCGGTGAGCAAAGGTGAGTGAGTAAACATTTCTGCCTGAGCACATAAGCGCCCGCAATTACCCCAGCAGGAGGCCGGTGAGAGAGCGGTGCCGGCTGGGTTGTTTGCTCATTAAGACAAGAAAATCATTTATGTTCTGGGACTCAAGTGTCAACAGACCCCGAGAAATGTCGTTGCCTCAGCTGCCGCCCTGGGGCCAGCCAAGGGGGCAGCTGGGGTCCCGGGCACAGCTGGTGGGCCGAGAGCGGGTGTGCATGGCACAGACGTGCTCCGGGACCCACTTTCCATCAGGGTTGTCTCCCAGGCCCTCCCGTCTTGTTTTCCTCCCTCGCCCTTTCTCCTTCCTTTTCAGATCCAGCAATCAAGGGTGGAGAGAGTGCTCCAATGGGCCGTGCACACGCACCAGAGGCACCGTACTTAGGGTGACCACCCATCCCAGTTTCCCCGGGACCGAGGGGCCTCCCCTGCCGTGGGACTTGCAAGTGCCCACACCGGGGCAGACCCTGGCCGACCCAGATGGCTGGTCATCGTGCAGCCCAGGAGCCCCGCTGCCACCCCTGAGGGGGACACCGTTCTCCCCGTTTCACAGATGGTTACGAAGGTGACCCCGCGAGCAGAGAAGGAAGGTTCTGGAGCTCCTGCTGCAGCCACGTCCTTGCCCCCCACCCAGCTGTTCTCCCACTTCTCTCTCCTTTCTCCAGCCCCCTTGCATTTGCTTCAGACCCAGGCAGGGAGGGAGTCACAGACCCTAGAGATCACCTGACTGACCCCTGCACTAGAACAAGGCAGACAGATGAGGCCCCAGGGACCCACCCACCTCAACGGCACCCTCCCCAGACCACCCCCCACTCCTCCAGACGGAGGGACAGACAGGGGCTCGCAGGAGCAGAAAGAAGCAAGCAGGAGGCGGGAGGAGACCCCAGCCAGCTCAGCCTACTGGGTGCGCCAGCCCTGCTACCCCTTGGCTCTAGGGGTAGACTCAGGCTGGAGGCAGGCTCAGGGCGCCCGCGAGCCCCTCTGCCTCCTTGTCTTTGGATCTGCCACCTTCACTTGGGCAGCACAGAGGCTGGGGAATGGGGAGGATGCCTGAGGGGTGACGAGAGGATGAAGAGGATTCGCCATTCCCCCCGGCCCCCACCAAAGCCGTCCTGCTGTTCCCACGCCCCATCCCTCGGCTACACCCTGGAATAAGGCAGGGAAGCCCCCGGAGGCTGGCCTAAAGGAGGGACCCGATTCCGCTTCAACAAGGAAGGCAAGTAGCGATCAGCACCGTGCCCTTTAAGGCCCCACGCAGAGGCTATATTTAGGGCCGAGGACATTCCGCAGGACCTCGGGCAGCCTTCACTGGGAGCAATCGCTAATCACTGCATTGAGTTTACGGGTGCCCCTGGGCACACTTAACCCAGGGCAATGAATAGTTATTGCCGGCCTCCCGCTCGGGGCCTGTGGGCACACTTAAGCAAGAGCGCAGATCGCTGCTAGCGGGCACGGCTCGGGTACACCCTTGGGCATCCTGCGCCTTCAGCGGGGAGAGGCGGAGTATTAAATATCTATGTGCCCTGTGCCCACAGCTGCATTTAGCCAAGGGCAAGGCTGGTGAAACGGCTTTAATTAAAACTTAATGCAAGTTCAAGGTGCAGGCATGGAAGCAGCGGCTGCAGAAGTCACCAGGAGTGAATCAGTCAGTTCAAGGAGGTTCTCAGGTCGGGGAGAGGGGCGGGGAGTGCAGGGCAGCAGAGACCCATCTTCCGTCTCGTGCCAGCTGCCCACCAGTCTGTGTCCATGTTCTGGGACGCGAGGCCACTGAGCGCTCCTGCACCTTGCTCGGTGAAGGATGCTGGGCGTCCCGGCCTCTAAGGCAGGTCGTTGGAGACAAAGCAGATGCCTGGGCCAGGAGTGGGTCCTGCTTTTCTCGGTAACTCCGCCCAGTGTTGCGTGACACCCGGCCACACTGTCCCCCTGGCGGTAGCTCCCAGAATTACAGGCCCAGCGCGCGGGGCGGCGGGGGGAACAGCCAGGAATGTCAAAGGTCATTGCCTGGGGGCAATGCTTGGGGATCACAGGGTAGAGCCCAGCGATTCTTAGGGGGACCAGCAACAGGACAGTGGGCAGGGAAAGCCGTGCCCTCTCAGCCCCTGCTTCTTAAGATTGGGAAGCAGAGGAATATCGGAGCAGTCTGCCCATCTGCCTGGGCTTCCAAGCTAGAGGAGCTCAGGTCTTTCATCCTGGGAGCGCTCCCAGAAGTGGGGTTCCTCCTGCCACAGCGCTCTTGTTAAAATTCAGACCAGATGGGAACACGGCTATAAGCTCTTTCTGGGGCAGGGGTCCACAACCTATTTAAATCTGTTCCCCTAGTAGCAGCCCAGTGCCTGGCATAGAGCCCATGCTACATAAATGCTCGTTGAATGATCGGCGATCGTCACAGGTGGCCTTCTCTCTCCCAACTCCTCCTTCCATTTCTCCTCTCCTCTCCTCTCCCTTCCCCTCCCTCAACTTTCCTTCCCCAGTCCCACCTTCCTTCCCCTACTCCCAGGCAGGGTGTCGCACACCAGTATCCCCAGGCCAAATCCAGTATTGTTTTGTTTTGTTTTGTTTGAGCCACTTCATGTTTGCAAAATTAAAGTCACCTTTTTAAAATTAGAAGATTTCACGTACAATTACAGATGTCCAGTTTCTCACGGAAAGGTAGAAAGTCTGGCCGGACGGGGCTGGGGTGGAGTGGGGGCTGCCCCTCTGCGGGGGGCCAGGGCGGGAGGCTGTGCCTGGTTCATGGCCCAGCTCCTTGCACGCCTCCCCATCTCTCTGCTCCGTTCTCTCACCTGTAGAATTGGGACAATAACAGTACCCGTTGCCTCGGATCACTATGAAGATGAAATGAGTTCATATTTGCAAAGTGGTTAGAACAGGGCCCAGTGGGCGCCTGGGTGGCTCAGTCGTTAGGCGTCTGCCTTCGGCTCAGGTCATGATCCCGGGGTCCTGGGATCGAGCCCCGCATCGGGCTCCCTGCTCCGCGGGAAGGCTGCTTCTCCCTCTCCCACTCCCCCTGCTTGTGATCCCTCTCTCGCTGTGTCTCTCTCTGTCAAATAAATAAATAAAATCTTTAAAAAAAAAAAAAAAAAAAGAACAGGGCCCAGCATCCAGCATAGCAGGGGTGCCATGGAAGTATTTGCTAAATAGAGACACAAGTAAAATTCTTTACTGCCTCCTCAGCCTGGCACACTCATTTCTGGGGTGGGTTTGGCCCCCGCTGGCATTTGCATCTGTAACCACCCACCCATCCACATCTTGTTTAGCTCACAGGACTCATGAGGAAACCTGACTACAAGGAGCCTGCAAGGCAGTGAAGGATTGTACCTGACGTCCTTTTATGGCTAAAAGTCTACAATTCCTTGACTTTACCCAGGTCAAGAAGGAGCATCCGAACTCGCCATTTTTTTCAGTCTAGCGAGGGGGGACACAACGACAGAATGTTGCAGCGTCAGTGATCACCCCAGTGCTCCCGCTGTCCTCTGTACCAGCTAGCTCAGAGACCTTTCACACGCCCGCACTCCTCCATCCCGTCCCCTCCCAACTCGCTCTGACAAACCCGGTGGGACCGGGCACCCTGTCAGCGCCCACGAATATCTTGCGGGAGAGCGAGGCCACGCGGCACCCCCCAGCGGCCACCTCTCTGCCCGGCCACGTCTCGAGGCTCAGGAGCCACAGCCTTTGCAGAGAAGCCCAGTCTGGGGTGTCCCCCCCCACCCCATCCCGTGTCCCTCTGGGCGCTCAGAGCCTGTTACCTGAACGGATGTGGGCCCACGGTGGACACTCTCCTGGCCCAGCCTGGATGTTATCACTGGACTCTTCATTATGTAGCAGACTCACTGCTCCAACCTTTTCACCCTTGTTTGAAATACTCTGATTTCCAACCTGTAATTTGCTTTCTGGAAGTAGGGGCAAAATTCATGTGTGCAAATGGAAGAGAAAAACACAGTTAATAGGCCGCAATTATAGGTCAGTGACTATTTCCAACAAGTATGGTTAACATCAACCGGCGGAAGCTGGGCAGGTCTCTTGCAAGAGGGCTGGGCCGGGAGACCAGAGCTGTGGGGCCGGGGAGCCTGGGGCCGGTTTCTGGGCTCCTGCAGTGCAGCCCCCACCAGGAAGGCCTCAGCGCTGGGGACATTTGGAGATTTCAGCAAGGTCAGACCTGGGCAGACAGAACAAGAGTTTATGCCTGAACGTCCTTTGACAGGTGACAAATGTTGGTTCACACCTTCTTCTTCGACCGCTACAAATGACTCCTAAGGTAGGTTGTCTTATTCCCATTATATAGATGAGGCAGATGAGGCTCAGAGTAGGTCAGGGACTACGCCAACAGGGTGCGGTGGGGAGCTAGGGGGGTGTCAAAGAGGAGACGACTGGAAGAAAGGAAGAGAAAGAGAAGGAACAGGTTAGTTCCTGTGATTTCTGCAACCCCCCCCCCTCCCGACCCTGTGACCACAGCTCCCTCGGGGGAAACTCTGGGCTTGGTCGGGGAAGGGAGGACAAAAAAAGGGAGAGAGGAAATGGATGTGAGGAGAAGAGGAAAAGATGAGGGCTCTGGGGGGCAGGTCGCCCCCTCTCAGAGGCCAGGCCGAGGGATTAAAGCAGCAGGACCACCGGGGAGCTGCCACCAGCCCCCCTCCACCCCCAGGCCGTCAGCGGCTGCCCACATCAGGGCAGCTCCTCGTCCTCTGGCCCTCAAAGGCGAGTCAGCTCCCTCGCTGACTGGCATCAGCCCAGGTCTCGGAACCCAGCCCCAAAACCCACCTCTCTGCTCCTTCCCTGGGCAGGGTCCAGGCTGTGTGGCTCCTGAAGCTCGTGCAATTTCAGGGAAGGGCCTCTTAAGGAAAAAGAATACAAAAATGTCTTTTGCCAACATTACAGAGTCTTGTGAGCACATAAGGGACGAGAGCAAGTGAGGCACCCTGGGGCTTACGCTCCATCAGCTCTGAGGTCGATCAGCCTCTGCGAATCCGGTGGCACCTTGTTCTCACGTTATTGAGCACTTCCCAAGCACCTACTGGGTGCCAGACCCAAAGGCAAACACTGTGGGGATGCCCCCACCATCCCCCACCCCGCCAAAGGCACTCCAGATCCAACCAGAGACAGCTGTGCAAGCCCGGCTGTGTGAGCAGGTATGCTATTCATTGGGCAGCAAGTACACGGATAGAAGCAGGTTTAACACACAGAGGTGATCAATATCAGGAAGACTGCCTGGAGGAGGCAGCCTCTGAGCTGGGTTAACACACCTAGCAGTCCTATCGACCTGCAGAGGCTTTCTCTACAAGGTCAGAAATCTCAGATATCCAGATACAAACTTAGAAGCTCTGGAGTAGAGAAAAATAGCAGTCATAGGACAAGGCTGAAAAGGTATACACCAACAGGAAATCCTATCAGTTCTACCTTCAAAATATATCTAGAATCTCACCCCTTCTCCTTACTCTGGTCCCTGACCTGGTTTTCTGCCCCTGCCTTCCTTACCTCCCGAGCCCCTGATTGTCTGTACTCCACATAGCAGCCATCTGGATCCTGTGCCACACTAGGTCAGATCATGTCATGCCTCTGCTCAAACCTCCCCATTTCTCACTCCGAGGAAAAGCCAAAGTCCTGGAAGGCCCCACATGATTCACCCCTCACCTCCCTGACCTCCGTTCCCAGTTCCTCGCCTCCCTCCTTCTGCTCCAGCCACACTGGCCTCCCTGCTCTTTCTCAAGCATGCCAGGCACACTCCTGCCTCAGGGCCTTTGCACTGACCAAGTCCTCTGCCTGGAGCTGCCTTCTCTTAGATACCCGCATGGCTCACTCCTCCACCCCCCTCAAGTCTCTGTGCAAACGTCACCTTCTCAATGAGGCCTGCCCTCTTCTTGCCTTTATCCTATGAACACTGCTTCCTTTTTCTGTAACCCTTATGACCTTGTAATCTGCTGTCTAATTTACTTATTTATTATGTCTGTTGCTTGTCTCCCCACTCCCAAATGTAGCTCGCTCCGTGGGCCAGGAGTGTCGGTTTTGTTCATCACTGCGTCCCTAGCGCCGAGAGCAGTGCTCGGCGTATAGAGGGCTCTCGATAATGAGTGAAGCCGAATGAGGGAGAGCTCTGGGCAGAGAGCTTTATTGTCTTCTTTGGACTTTCTCTAGTTTCCGTAATTATCTTGTATTTGCTTTTGTCATGATTTTGTTTTCAGGTCGCCTTTTAAAAGCTCACAGTTTCACTTTCAGATTCTTGACACCATTGTGCATTTGGTGGGAGATGAATACACTATTTCAGAAAACAGCCCCGGAAGCCTTTATGTGGGGTATTCTCTGGCGACATGCGTTCCTTTTAAAAGCATGCAGTTTCCACCTCTATCTTTAGCAAGAGATCAAGGCCGTGCCTCTGTCAGAGGGAGGCTCCGGGAGGTGGAAGATCACTGGGGAAATAAAGTGTCTAAGCCTGGATGTGCAAATTGACCTGGATCGTTTTAGTTTTGCATTCACGTTTGCACTTTGTAAATATTTGCCTGGCATCCCGCTGCTCACACCTGCTTGCTGTCCCCTCAAGTTTATGGAAGGCACCAGGTACCATCATGCCTGTGTCTCCACCTGGCACTGCCATGGAAAGAAAACTCTCCAGCGAAAGCCACAGGTGTCTCTGACAGCGCCTAAAACTAATGGCCTGTGGCTGGCCGCTGTGACTAATTCTCTGATTATTGACTTTATGATTTTACGCTTAAAACTTCTTTATAATAACACACAGAAATGTTTAATGGGCTCTATCCAGAGCCATAAAAATTACTTATTGAACAAGCGTTTTAAAACTATTAATCTATTGTTTTCCATTAATAATGGCTCTCCAAAGAACAGGCGACAGCTTAATGTATCCACAGCATTTCTCCCCGAAAAGTGGCCTTTTAATACATAAATGCCTCTCCCGCGGCTTCGCGGGTTGCCTGGCCATCGGGCAGCTGACCCTCCCAGGACAGATTTAGGCTCCCCCAGTCCCCGAAAGTGCTTTAAGGATTTCCCTAAAAATCCATAAGGGGGCCCTGGGAGGTTTTCCTAGCGTCTGAGAGAGACGGAAAAGACCCTCTCCTCAAACTCTCTCTCTTTCTGTGCAAAAGAGGAATTTCTAGGGCCTGTTCTGTGGTGCCCACGGTGGAGGACACAGAGAGAAGTGGGCAATTTGCACATCTCTCTACTCTTGTTCCCTCCAGAAGGTTCCAGAATGACCTGTGTGACCCACCCCCATCCTACTTCTGTTGGCAAGCCCACCGCTGAAAGGCCCATTTTCTGCTGCGTCTGGGGACCTGTCCCCTTACCAAGCCTGAGATGGCTTCCTACCTCAGGTGTGTCAAAGTCACCCCTATAGCCCCACATCCATTTATTTTTCCGGGTGATTTAGATTTTGAAGCCGGATGGGCATTTCTTCTAGGGTTTCAGGCTGTTCATTCATTCAACAAGTATTTATTGAGTGTCTACTAAGTACCAGGCAGTGTTCTTGGTTCTGGAGATGCAGCAATAAATCAGGAACATGTGGGCCTTGCCCTCATGGAGCTCCCCTCTGTTGGGGGAGCACAGAATACCAAAGATTTAGAAGATCATTTTAAATAGTGGTGAGTGCTGAGAAGCCAATGGGGTGAGATTGTGACCGGGGGTGGGCAGGGACTGCGTTGGATGGAGAGTCAAGAAGGCTTCTTGGGGAGGCGGCCTTTGAGAAGAGATGTGAGTGACAGGAAGGAACCGGCAGTGAGAAATGGGGGAGGAGTATTCCAGGCAGGGGGAAAGGCAGTACAAAGGTCCTGGGGTGAGGTATACGGACAGACATCTCTCTCCAGGCGAAGGCCGACCTAGCCAACAACTGTTCCCTCCCTGGCAAGTGCAGAATTCTGCTCAGCCCCATCCTCACAGTCTCCCTGTGGCTCCTGGGGATCCACAGGGCTGGGTAGTCTGAGAAGCACTTGACCTTATCTGTGGAACAAGAAGGTATTTCTGAGAATGAAGGAAGAATTTCTCCTCCCAGCCTTACTTTAATGGAATGGTTAGGAAGGGGCGTGTAGGAGTCATATTCTCAACCCTGAAGGGACGCTTTACTCCATGCAGAGGTCACAGTTCACAGAATATTAAAGGAGAATTGTCTTAGAGTGGGGCTTCTCAAACTTCAGTGTGCCTACAAATCACCCGGGGGGGGGCTTTTTAAAATAAAGATTCTGATTCAGTAGAATCAAGGTAGGGCCTGAGATTCGGTGATTCTAACAAGCTCCCAGGTGATGCCGATGCTCCCAGGTGATGTGGTTCAGGGACCACACTTTAAGTAGCAATGTCCTAGAGGCCATTAAATCGAACCACTGGGTTTTACAGGGGGAGATAAGGAGAAATGTGACTTAATGGTGAGAGTGGAGCACTGAAGTTAGAGCACCTGGGTTTGAATCCCTCCTCTGTTTGTGTATATGCGTATCTGTGTACTGATTGCTTAGTTACAGTTTCTTCCTGTGAATTGATTGTATGATGACAATGGTGGTGATGATGATGATGATGGCAAAGATGATGATGATGATGGTGGTAGTGAGGGTGGCAATGATAGTGATGATTGGGGGGCCTGGCTCAGTTGGTTGAGTATCCGACTCTTGAATTGGCTCAGGTCATGATCTCAGGGTCGTGAGATCAAGCCCCACGTTGGGCTCTGTGCTCAGTGTGGAGTCTGCTTGAGATTCTCTCTCTCTCTCCCCCTTTGCCCCTACCCCCCCCAAAAAGAAAAGATGCTGATGCTGATGGTGAAAATGATGATGATGGTGGTGGTGATGATGATGGTGATGGTGGTGATGATGGTGATGATGATGGTGATGGTGGTGATGATGGTGATGATGGTGGTGATGGTGGTGATGATGATGGTGAAGATGGTGCTGGTGGTGGTGATGATGGTGTTGATGATGGTGATGATGATGGTGGTGATGGTGTTGATGATGGTGGTGATGGTGGTGATGATGGTGTTGATGATGGTGATGATGATGGTGGTGATGGTGGTGATGATGGTGATGATGGTGGTGATGGTGGTGATGATGGTGATGATGGTGACGATGGTGTTGATGATGGTGGTGATGGTGGTGATGATGGTGATGATGGTGGTGATGGTGGTGGTGTTGATGGTGGTGATGGTGGTGATGATGGTGATGATGGTGATGATGGTGTTGATGGTGGTGATGATGGTGATGATGGTGGTGATGGTGGTGATGATGGTGATGATGGTGGTGATGGTGGTGATGATGGTGATGATGGTGATGATGGTGGTGATGGTGGTGATGATGATGGTGATGGTGGTGATGGTGGCGATGATGGTGGTGATGGTGGTGATGATGGTGATGGTGGTGATGGTGGCGATGATGGTGGTGATGGTG